TTCAATTTGTATTTCCTCGTTCTAATAAACGCTCGCTCGAGATAATCCAGATGATCTTCTTGGGCTGATTTAACCACCACGTCATCAATATAAACTTCTAAGAATTTACCAATCATATCATGAAAAATCAAATTCATTGCCCGTTGGTACGTAGCTCCTGCATTCTTTAGTCCAAAAGGCATAACCACCCACTAAAAAGTCCCGATTGCACCAGGACATCTAAATGCTGTCTTCGGGACATCTTCCTTAGCGATAAATATTTGGTTATAACCCGAATGACCATCCATCAGGGATAACATCTCATTTCCCGATGCTGAGTCTACTAACATATCTGCCATAGGCATTTGGTATTCATCCTTTGGAGTGGCATTATTCAGATCCCAAAAGTCAATACAAACTCTCAGCTTCCCATTCTTCTTTTTCACAGGGACAATATTTGAAAGCCACTCTACATACCTGGTTGTTTCAATAAATCTTGCTTTCAGCAGCCTTTCTATTTCCTCCTTGACTTTATCCACCACATCCGGAGCAAACCTCCTTGCTAGCTGCTTATGTGGACGAAATCCTTTCTTGATTGGAAGGCGATGTTCTACAATATCTCTTGACAAACCAAGCATTTCATTATAGTCCCATGCAAAACAATCCTTATACTTTTTGATTAGATTAACCAACTTTTCTCTCATGCCCCCTTGTAAAAAAGCACTTACATATATCGGGCGGAAACAACCAGGCTCCCCTATATTAACTTCTAACAATGTTACTTGAGCCTCCATTGTCCTGTCTTCTTTGACTAATGGGTCTTCCCATTCATCTATACAATCTGAGGCTTCAACCTTTTGATGCGCCATTTCTGCCAAATGTGTAAAGTACCTTTCATAAACTTCTTGCAATACTGACTCGCTTTCCATATAGAATATGTAATTCTTCCAATGCCAAGCTTGACTTAGGGATCCATTCAGCTTTGACATCCCCGAAGCGGCAATAAGCAAGGGACTGTGGATCTATCCCTGGTGTTTCAACAGCATAACATTCATGTGCACAGTCTCGATATTTTCGGCAAATGTCAGTCCACCCGATTGAAGCATATCCCGAATCTGCCTCAACATATTCCACTTTATCGCCATTCCAGAATGCCAAGACTTGATGCAAAGTTGAAGGTACGCACTGATTAGAGTATATCCAATCTCTTCCGAGCAGCAGATTATATGAACCATCAGACTCTATCACAAAGAAAGTCGTTTTGGACGACTTGGACCCTATAATCAAGTCCAGCACTATTGCCCCCTTGACTTCGGTAACTTCCCCAAGAAAATCAGCCAACTGAACATTGGAAGAGATAATGTCATCATCATCCTTCCCTAATTTCTTGAAGTACTTGTAAGATACGAGGTTCAAAGTGGCTCCGGCATCTACGAAAGTTTTACCGACAAACCTACCATTGACCTTCCCTGAAATAACCAAGGATCTTAGATGCTTTGCTTTTTCAGAAGGTACCTTATCAAACTTAATGGCTTCCTTGTCGGGAAACTGGAATTCTGCCATGGCTATCTCCTTTTTCGAAATGTGTTCGGTATCTTCTTCCACTGCCAAATTAGTTCCATGCTCCGCTAGAAGTTTAGCATGGATCATGTTTATCCATAATGGATGATCATATTTCTTTGACATTTTGGGGTAGCCAATTCGGTAACTCCTGTCATTTCCTCGTGACCATTTAGGACCCAAGTTATTTTGCCCTAGCTTTCCTTGATGTCTTGGGTTGAGGGCTACAGTGAACTGCCCAAAATTAACTATCTGAGGAGCTTGTGAAACTTCTTCTTTTCTCATTTCAACTCGAGAGCTATTTCCCGAATCCCTTGGTTCTGATTTAATCTGATCTTTTTTATCAGGGTTTCTCTTCCAGACCCAATTACCTTTCTTACCGACAGATGTGAAAGGTGAATCATGCTTCGCTGTACTTTTAGCTCGGCTATTTTGGAAATTCCTTTGCTTGTTTTTCATCCGCTGAAAACGCCTCTTGATGGTTCTGTAAGACGCTTGTCCTAGCGATTTAACTGTTGACCATTTTCTTTCGGGAGGATTGTGTGGTACCTTAACTGTTTTTCGCTTGTGGATTTCCTGGGAATTTGATGGTGGTGGATCATCAAACTCTTCTCCCCAGCCAGTCGGCACAATTGGTAATGACGAAGGTATATAGTCATCCGTATCTCCGTAATAGACCACATAGTCAAACTTCCCACTAGGTTCTCCAAGCAATCCGACTTTAGGATCACCTTCTTTATATCGTTGCCATAAATTCTTTTTCTTTGCAGGCCTGGGTAATGTTTCTTTTTCTTCATGGACCTGAGTAGTCGATTCCCGAAGTTGGAAAGCTGGTTGCGATGAATCATGGTGATATTCCTTCCTCTCATATATACGACTAACATCTTTCCTTTCGGGAACATGCTCTGTTTGTCTTGATTGAACTTCCTGATCTCTAGTTTGTACCGTATGATTTTCGGTAGCAACAATCTCAGATTTTACCTGTGGTCTACCTATTCTGCGGACAAACGATTCTGATCGATATCTCCCCCTTGTTCCTCTCATGTATTGAAACTTGGGTATTTCCCGATCCTGACGAATTAGCTCTTGGTGACAACGAGTGCAAAGTTGCTTGTTATCGCCGCCTGTCATATCTCGTATGTTAACCATACTAATCATGTTCGGGAAAGGGTCTGTGTCCACTTCCATTGGGGCCTTGCCTTTGTCTTCAGCAAACTTAATTTTGTCTTGGCGAATTGCCTCTTGAATAGTCTTTCTAAATACAATGCAATTCACTGTATCATGAGTTGTAGAGTGATGCCACTTGCAATACCTCTTATCTGTCATTTCTTCCTTTGGTGGAATTATTTGCCCCTTAGATAACTTGATCACTCCATCCTTCAACAACAGGTCAAATATTTCATCCAACTTGTAGATGTCAAAGGAGTAGCTATTTGTCTCCTTAGCCTTGAACTTGGATGCATCTCTCATCCTGGCTGGCTTTAGTGCTGGGCACACATATGGTTTCTCAAGCACCATAGTTGCTACGGCTATTTCATTCTTCTCTTCGGCTATATCACCTTGTTCGGTATTTTCAGCAAATGCCACTATATGCCGATTGTCCTTATTCGGCTTCTTGTCTTTCTCCTTCAACAAGTGTTCGTATTTGGAAACCCGTGCGTTCAACTGAAAGAAATCGTCAAATGCTTGTCCTTCAAATCTTTCTTTAAGGTTGAACCTTAAGCCATTAAAAGCCAAATCCGTGAACTCCTTTTCAGTAAGTGATGTTAAACATCGGTTCCTGGATTTCTTGAAACGTGCAATAAACTGATCTACCGTTTCGGTACCATATTGATACATCCTGGCCAAATCGGCTACCGTTACCTCTGGTACCGTTCGGTAAAATTGAGAATGGAACTGCCTTTCCATCTCCGTCCATGTCTGAATAGAATTCGCATGCAAATTCGTATACCAAGTGAAAGCTGTTTTTGACAAAGACAGTGGGAACAACCTTAACCTTAAATACTCATTAGTTCCAGCTTCTCCACATTATGCTAAGAATCGACCCATATGTTCCACAGTTGACTGATGTTCTTCTCCTGTAAATACAGCAAAATCTGGCATCTTGAAACCCCTCGGATATGGTATATTGTCAACCCAATCGGGATGTGGTTTCTATACACCGGCCTTGGCATTCCTCTCTCTCGCTCCCAATTGTTGCATTACCACCCCGCAACTCTATCTCGGGTTCCATGGCCTTAAATTTTGCTGGCCTAACCAAGGATCTTGACCTCTAAGATCGAACTGTTGAGGTCGATTCACCCCTTGCTGCTCCACGTTGAAATTACCGGGTAGTGGTGGTCTATAAAGAGGATTTTCTATCACATGAAGATATGGTTGAGGCGCAGGTGGTCTGATACGGTCAACATTAGGCATATTCACTGGTGGAGGTACATTCATCACTGATGGTGCATTTGTGGCCATGGAATTAATCAAATTAATCTCATTTGAGGCATTTTGAGGGAAATTATAAGCACTCACACCATTCACAAGATTTATAGGGGTAGGATTCTCTGGCCTTAGTATAATTCTAACAGGAGGTTGAGAATTTGATCCCCCATTACCATTATATCCAACATGAGGAAGTCCCGATGTTGGTGGGAATGATGTTGTCCCAGGAGGATTTGCATAAAAGGGTGAAACTTGAGAAGATGAACTGGGACGCGATATTACCTCATTTATAGCATTGATCACCATGGGCTTTATCACATCAGTTACGGGTAGAAATTGAGTGGATTGAAAATGGATCTGAGATCAACACGGTTTTTAACTATGTTACAATACTCCTATGAAAGCTGTAAACGACTTGAAGGTTAACTAAAGCTACAGGAAGCTGTAAACGCAGGAAGTAAAAGTGCAGAGGAAACTAAAGTGCATATAAGCTTGAGTGTTTTTGCATTCTTGTCGCCTTCTCTTTTCTTCTTTCTTCTGAGTATTTATATCTCCTCCTATCCGTAGAATCGCTTGGCGGTTACTTCTTTTTTCGAACTTTGAATCTTGGCGCTTTCAATAAGCGCCTTATCTACCCACGTTTTCCAATTTCATTGTCCACCAAAACTTGATATCAACTGCTAGGATGACTTCCAATTTGGATAAATAATCTCCCACGATCTGCTCGTGTTCACTATCTCCGCTTTTTGCTCATAACTTCCTGTTGTCACGATTCACGTGGCTGGGTTGTGATCTTGCCGATTTTCGGTAGCTTCAACATTTCCCGAAATGTAAACTTTTCATGTTTCGGTAAAATTACCGATTCTCTCCAATCACAGAATTCGAGACATGGTGCCATTCACGCTTACTACATTCCCGAATTTTTATCCAAACGTACTTCGGCAAACGACTGAGCTCCATTGTTCGTCGGATTTTGACATTAAACCGACTTGACATCCATGCCGATTTTGGTGTAAACAGTTACGGTCAAAAGTTGCCCGTCCATATCAGAGCAATGATATGCCAGAGGGAAATAATGCACCTAAGACCACCAAAGAGAACAAAACCAAGACCGAGAGAGGTGGAGAAGAAGGCGGTCATTGCGCGAAATTAATCGAAGAGATTGAAAAGTTGAGTGGACCGAAGAAGTTCTCCTATGAAGAGTCGATGATCGCTACCGATTCTTTTGCACATGACAGGATTCTGGGAGGAGGAGGTTTTGGCGATAATGTTGCTTGTGTACGTTTAAAAGTTGCCCGTCCATACCGGAGCAATGATATGCCAGAGGGAAAGAATGCACCTAAGACCACCGAAGAGAACAAAACCGAGACCAAGAGAGGTGGAGAAGAAGGGAAATTAAAGGACGAGTTGGATCTGACCCAAAAAAAATATAAAGAAGAGGAAGAGTTGACAAACCTGGGTGTGCCCAAGAAGTACTCCTATAGAGAGTTGAGCGGCGCGACCAATTCCTTTGCAAGTGGCCTGAAATTGGGACGAGGAGGCTTCGGGATCGTGTACAAAGGGTACATAGGAGAAGATTGCACACCGGTCGCTGTGAAGAAAATAAGATATGGTTCACGCCAAGGGAGAGAGGAGTATATATCCAAGGTGAAATCGTTGAGCCAACTTGGGCACATACACTTGGTGAAACTTAAAGGCTATTGTCACGAGGCGAATAAATTCATCCTGGTTTACAAATTCATGAAACAAGGTAGCTTGGCGGATCACCTGTTTGAAGACAAACCCTTGTTGACATGGGAAAGGAGGTACAACATCGCTCTGGGATTAGCCAAGGCGCTGCATTACCTGCACAAACAATTTCGTCAATGCATAATCCACAAGGATATCAAATCCGACAACGTCATGCTCGATGAAAAGTTCGAGGCCAAATTGGGAGATTTCGGCTTGGCTAAGCTAGTTGACCACACCAGAGTCCCAAGCACAACCCAAGTGAAAGGAACACTGGGTTACTTGGCTCCGGAATACTTTCGAACGGGTAAGGCAAGTAAGGAATCTGACATCTACAGTTTCGGAGTCGTCCTATTGGAAATATTATGTGGGAGAAAAGCCCCCGACTTGAAACTAGCAGAACAAGGCTGCCTTGTTCTGTGGGTTTGGAAGCGTAGTGGATGCAGGAGCTGGTGGGGGCGCCGGTTTTGGAATCTTCACCTTCCGGTGGACGAGAGGCTCGGGAAGGATTTCAACAAAAAACAGGCGGAGGCCTTGATGATTGTGGGGCTGTGTTGTGCTCATCCCTTTGCTAGGTCTCGGCCTTTGATTGAAGAGGCAATGGTCGTTTTGAACTTGACGTTAGAGCCTCGCAAACTCTCCTCGAAGATGCCAAGTTTCGACATATAATTGACCCAAACGTCTTGTCTAAATACATTTGGCTTAATATCTCATTTTGGTAATTGCTAATTTTGGTAGCGCACTTCATTTTGTTCGTAAGCGTAAAATTCCAATTGCAACTCAAGATCCTTTTTGAAATGACACTATTTGACATGATTTAATCTAAATAAATATTTTAACTACCGTACGCTCAATAATAAATGAGAAAGACGGTACAACAGCTTTTTGATAATGACCTCTATTTCCAACAAAATAAAAATAGACATCATTGAGTCACTATCATGTCTTTCTTCTTATCTTTTCAAAGTCCACTCATTTAAATATCTAATCATAACTTTTCCATTATATAGATGTATAATCATAGTTTGTCACTTTTAAGGAAAACTACTGCAAGTACCTAAAGTAATATGCTAGTTTCATCCTCTCCTTCTAAAAATCAATTTGTTTGCCATCGTGAATCAATTTACGAAAATGGCTTTAAGGGTAACTCGTGGATAACGAAGCTGACTAGTATAGCGATGTTTGATGATTCTGGATCCTCTGGTCACCTAAAACTCGTGTCGTGGAATATCCAAGTCAGCAAAAATCGAGACTGGCCTAAATTCCAAGAAGCGGGAGACCAGGGTCATCGGGCCCAAAGCCCATCCCGCTTGGCCTGCCGCTGCCTGTGCTGGTGAAGAGCGAGTCGACAGAGGCGCTTGGCGAGAGGGAGCGTAGGGGGCGGCTGGAAATGGCAGCCACGGCTAGCCGTTGCACTGATTTTTTTCAATACAGAATGATACGTAGGTGGAGGCTGTCCTGTTTGTGTGAATTCTGAATCAGCAAATTGATAGAGTGGATAGTATAAATCACCAGCACCTGAACATATGAACGCATGAAACTTTGGTTTTGTGGAAATTTAAAAGAAGAAAGGCAGTATGAAGTAAGGACAATTCTACACTTGAGGATATGGTGGTTTGTTTGTCTGTGATGATCATTTTCTGTAAATAAGCTGGAATAAGGCTTTGTTTATTTCACAGAAAATGAATGATTTGGAAAATTAATCTCTTATATCGCTTACAAAAGTAAATGAGCGGATAATATTTTCGACATCAATGAAAATGTTCCGACATAAATTGTTGTCAGTGATGAAAACATTTTTAATTGACTGACTATGGCCGCACTTAACACCCATGACAAAGGCAATCAAGTTTACCTCATCCGACTGCGTCTCCACCAATATCGGTTGATGGTTTGGTCCTGAAGGACGTCTTGATAACAATATACATACTTACTCCCTCAATGGGTTATAATCATAGCGTCACGAGTATAACCCATCAATCTCAATCTTCAATAACCCACAACAAAACCAGAAATCATTTCAAAACTCAGGTTTACAAACCAAATCATATAACTTTTCACGATTCAATATATATCAAAGTACATTTCATAAACTGTATTTATAAATCATGATCATTTCGTGATTCTTTCATAAAAGGTTTCATAAACTATTTACAGGCAATCAACTCAAACTGTAATCAACAAATACTTTTCCATTTCTAATAAATGGAATAATAGTAAAAGCTTGATCCAGATTTTATGCAATGAACATGCCATTTAACTCATAGTATATTCAATATATATAGCTTTTGAATATAAGCTTACAAACACAAATAAGAGATAGTACTACTCACCCAGTAAAGCTGAAAATCTACATACGATGATTGCTCGAGCCGAAACACTCGAATTCCTATCAATTGATCGAAAAATGATATCAAAATCCGAGTGAAACTCTGCCTTAACCAACGACTCGACTAGTGTAACATCCTCACCTTGGGGTTATTAATGCAACATTCCAAGAGCATCGCCGTCCCGTTTCTTTTATCTTCTCATTAAGAGCATGACGTCCCGTTCATTATTATCTTTCGTTACGAACAAGCGGAAGCATAAACTCGGGACAATCAAACAAACAACGGGTTAAGACAAGCATCATGAGCAAACCTTATATTTACAGGCTGACTTCTATATTACATGAGTGTATTCTACAAGCCCCTTTCTATGGGCCTTTTTCCCTTTTCAACACACTATATGCATCCACGTAGGCTGGGGGAAATTCCTATTTTCTCTAGCATGGCCACAGCTCCCAAAACTAATGTGAGACTTCCATGCCTACAAATCTGAAAAACAACGGAATGAGTTGAGGACTCAGTAAATAAAACTCACTAAACTCCGGATAGGAGGATGCCTTGCCATCGAACAAAGCACATGTCATAACCACATCAATTGATAGCAGATCAATGGCAAATGTGCTTCAAATATACTCTTTTTTGTGCATAAGATGATCTCAACTTGCCTTTCTATTCAAGCAACAACATCACAATCAAGAGCATGCATACGAGGGAATCTTTGTCTCAACCGTTGGTACGGTTCTTCCGGAAATTCTCCAGGCAACGTCCCCTAATCCAAGGGCAATGGCTTTTCATCCGAACATAATCGGGCAACGTCCCCTATCAATGGTGACGGCTATTCATCCGAACTTAATCGGGCTACGTCCCCTAATCAAGGGCGACGGCTATATTTTCCCTCGTGAGACCATCATAACAACTTGAGTACTTCACGCGAAGTGTGTATCATGCCATGTTGCCTCTAAAGTCTTAAGTCATGCTGGGCATGAAACTAACTTCGTGATCCGAACCGACCGGTCATGGCGCCGACCTACACCAAGCAAGGCTTGGATCGGTACGCCTCAATACCGACCCTCCAAGCAAAGCTCGTTCCGACACACCTCGACGTCGATCCGAACCAAGCGAGACTCGTTCATGGCTCGGGGCATGCTCTTAAGCATGATGCCAAACACATGAGCAACCTTACATATGTAAATGTAAGCACGGCAAGCGATATCAAGTGTTCACAAACCACGGAACTCATGCAAGCACCACAAGCACATAATTCGCCCAATAACGCAACACGACACCCTAGCCAAAGTTTAGTAAGTCTACTTACAACCCTTCAAGGTCATGGCCAACGGTGGCCTAGTGGTGAGCCGAGCGACAAGGGCACGGCAAGGACACGGCGTGGTACGGGCACGAGCGCGGCCGAGAAAGAGAGGGCAGCCAAGAGAGAGTGAGGGCGTGATGGAGAGAGGGAGAGGAAAGTGAGCCAAAGGTGAAGAATGAGGGAAGTATGCCTTTATTTATAGGCCATCTTGCCAACTTGCTGGAAAAGTTATCTAACTTGCAAGATAAGTTATTCAAGCCAACTTGCAAGATAAGTTAGTCAAGCTAACTTACAAAATAAGTTTCAAATAAAGTCATTAACTTGACTAAATCAACTTGTCTTCTTGTCCCAAGAAGCATTCTAGGCATGAACCATGAACTCAATAATTGGGGTCCTTGCTAATTCTAATGGCACATTTTCCTTTGAACACCCCATTTTCACTAAAACTTGACTTAATAAGGAACTAAGTAAGTAGGGGTTTTTAAGTGCTATAAATAATCGATCATCCCATTTGAAACGGGAAAATTACCAAAAAAGTCATAAACCTTTTGCAATTGTGCCAATTCAGTCTTAAACCTTTTTTTTGTTGCCAATGCAGTCCTAAACCTTTTGCAATTGTGTCAATTCAGTCCATCCGGCCACTTTTGGCCGGCCGGTGCTGACGTGGATGCCGGCCGACACCGGCCAGCTGACGTGGTAATTTTTAATAATTTATTATTATTATTTTTCTAATTTTTTTATTTTTTTCTCTTTCTTTTTTATTTTTTGCCTATCTTCTTCCCCGGTCGCCGATCGCGAGAGGCTGAGGCCGGCGAGGTCCACCTCGTCGGCCATGGGCGAGGCTGGCCCTCGCCAGTGCCGGCGAGGGCCAGCCTCGCCCATGGCCGACGAGGTGGACCTCGCCGGCCTCAGCCTCTCGCCGATTGCCGGTCGCCGGTCGCCGGACCGGTGACCAGGGAAGAAGATAGGCAAAAAATAAAAAAAAATTCGAAAAATAATAATAATAAATTATTAAAAATTGCCACGTCAGCCGGCCGGCGTCCACGTCAGCGCCGACCGGCCAAAAGTGGCCGGATGGACTGAATTGGCACAATTACAAAATGTTTAGGACTGAATTGGCAAAAAAAAAAGGTTTAGGACTGAATTGGCACAATTACAAAAGGTTTAGGACTTTTTTGATAATTTTCCCCATTTGAAACCGAGGTTCGATGTAAAAATATGCCCTAATATTCTTGGACACAACCGAGCCAAAGATCGGGCTGAACGGCACAATGCCGAATTAGCAAAAATCGTTGGCACACGGCTTGGTCGGTTGGGCCTGACCGAGCGCAGGACCTGGTACATGGCCGAGCCACTTGGGCACAAGGCCGGGCTCACGGCCGAGTCATATGGGTACTAGGCTTACTGCACGAGCACAAAGTCAAGTGGATGGGCATGGGACCGGGTCGCACAGACGGTGCGCCGGCGCAAGGCCGGGCCACACGGACAATGTGCCAAGCGTATGGATGGGACACACGGATGAGGGATTGATTCATGGATCAGACGCATGCATCGGCTCATGGGTGGCACAATGCACGACCCGTGGCCAGGTTTGATTGGCACAGGACTATGTCTGGGCCGGAACCAATAGGCACAAGGGTCAAGCACAATGGTCGACACACGGACGGGCACAAGGTCGGCCCGTGGCTTGACTAACAGGCACATGGCTGGTCCACGGCTGGGCGCAAGGCCTAGTGCATGGCCTATCCATGTCCTACCCAATTCAACCCAACGATCCATGACCGATTCGTGACCGGTCCATGTTCGAGTATCAACGATCCATGGTCAACCCTCGGTTGTCATATAACCGCGTGGAATTGAACACAACGAAATCGGTCCATGGTCGCCCGTGACCGGTGCATGATCGAGCAGAATCACTCACGACCGACACATAACACACGACACCGATCCATGGTAGTTTGGATTGTCCCACTAGCGACCCTTATGGTCGAAAGGTCGATCCTTGGTTGAATCGCTCTAATCAACTTGCATGACGAGAAAGTCTTTGCATTGTCGGCTCCTTGGTCTATGATTGAACCATAACCGACCCTCTAGATACCCGTTTCGACCATAATAGCCGATCC